GACAAATATAACAAGTTCCCATAAATATTCACCACACCCTACAAGGTCAATTTAAATAACAATTGACAATGTCCAACGCTTTACATGGCTCAAGCGTCAATTTTAATAATCAATGCTATTTTGATTAATAATTACACTGGTCTACAGAAAAAAACACACACACACACACACAAAAACGATATCCAAAAAGAAACGATAATTACCTAGAAGAGAGGTGAAACAGGTTTGACATCAGGGACGACCTAAAGCAGGGAGATTTTTAGGGACAAGTCAATCGGAGAGTTTTTTTGTATAGACTCCAGTGGGGAAATTAAGAAAACTTTTATAGTTTTTTTTATTGACGTGCAGTAGCATCGAGATTACCCATACAAGCAGGCAATCTTGTAAGATTTATAAATACAATTCTCCCACGCCTATGATAGACCTGAGAAAATATTCTAAAACAAATCATATCTATTTAGACCTTGGAAAGATATTCTTTGACAAAATTTGAACTCCAAACCACTTCTGTGATAAAAATTTAGAAAAATCCACGCCTATAATTGACCCTGAAAAATATCCTTAAACCAGTGAGCAGGGCAGTATAGTCGGACGGGGCCGACCATACAATACCCTACACAACTACCACGGAACTCTAACATTCTGCGGATTTTTATTCCGAGCCTGGGCAATATTTCGTGGTAGTTGCATCCTCTTGCCCGATTAGAGGTCAACAGCACCACTTCCTTACACTGACATATTTTCCGAATATAACTAATATTCAGTACCGTCCTTCTAATTACTGGTCCATATTCCCTTCACCGTAAGTTGTGTTGCGATGTTCGGTCCAAAAAAAAAGAAAACAAAAAAAAATTAAGTACTCCACTTCATCCCACAATTAGTATCTGATCATCATCGAAAATTATAGGCGTTGTTCTTGAGCATAGCCGGAACCTCATGGAACATATCAAAATGATTACCGCTATATATTCCGCCCTGCAGTGCGGTAATGGTTTACTAAATAATATATGAATACGCAAGCTCCTGAAAATATTTACGTGTAACTCCCACATCCGATTAGATACGACAATATAATTGGTATCAATTTCAAAGGTCAACCACTTCTCTTGGATATACTATCAACTTCTCGGGTCTATGTCCATCAGGAACATAGAATACACATTTTGTCATTTTTCACACAAAAGTCAGGTTCCATTTGACCCATTAAATATTGACCGATCTTTATCAAAACAAGCATGCTTATTCTTTGATCCGATCCCCTTCTCCATGTAAAAATTTGCGATGTTTGGGCCATAATTGCGACCAGAAAAACCGACAAAATTTAAGTATTTGGTCCATTTCATCCCCTAAATTTTAACCGATCTTTACCAAAAACAATAGGGGTCTTCATTGGCCAGAACCGGTACTACAAGCAAAATTTCGTGAAGATTGGTCCATAACTGTGGTCTGTATCGTGTTTACAAAATATAATGGACAGACGGACGGACACATGTCTAGATCGACTCAGCTAGTCAAGATATGACGATCGGTATACTTAAAGTTGGGTCTAGGACCAATATTTCGCGGCGTTATAAACTCTTGGGGCTGCACAAAGCAATAATACCCTGACAACATAATTGTGTTGGATATAAAAACCTTAGCCTATGATTGACAATGGCGAATATTCTTAGAAGTTACACCCATATGATATACCTTAAAAGGTATTCGAAAAAAAAAATTCTTCGCCTACGATAGACCTCCAAAAAATTCCATCTAACAAAATATGATTTTCAAGTCAAGGCGATTAAAAAAGTCTTTAAAAAATCAACGCCACTTTACATTTTTGAAACATCGAGGTATACATAAAAATGTATTCTTAAAAAATCCAACCTGAAGATCTTCTGTAGCTTTAAACATATTCTTAAAAATTCCACGATCACTTCTGCTCACCTATAAACGATTCCATTCTGCTGTAAAAAATATATTTCATCAGCTTGTTTTTAGATTTGAACAGATCCTATAGAAACTCCCATTAGATCTTCTATCCAAAACTTCATTCAGCTTATCCATGGACGGCTTACTTCAGTTCGCCTATTGAAGACAATTTCCAGGTAGTGTCTGCAAAATACTCAATTGAGTTCGTCTATAATATGGATTCCTCAATTTCGCCTATAGAAACGATGAAGAGAGTTGTTTCTATAGAGGACTCTCTATAGGAAAACTTCCTTTCGGTTCGACCATAGAAGGCTTTTCCAAACTCGTACATACAAAAATGACTTATCCAGATATATATACAAAAGACTCCATTCAGATGGTCTATATGATAGGTTCCTTTAAGCTCGTCTATAGAAAGTAATTAGTCCCTTCAGGTCGCCAATAGGAAAGATTATTTTTAGGTCGTCTATAAACTCCCATCAGTTCATAAATCGAAGAATTCCTTCAGCATATCTGCCGAAGACTCACTTCAGCTCACAACGAAAGACTCCTTCAAATTGTCTATGGTTACGACTTTTTAGCTCGTCTATAGAAAAGACTCCTTCATCATGTCTAAAGGAACTGAAGTCAGTTTTCCACAGGCGAGCTGACGAACTGAAGCGATTCTTTGACACAGGTAATTTTTCCTATATATGACCTGAATATAGAATTTCGATTAGGCGACCTGAAAAGGGTTCTTCCCTGTTGTAGAGAGTATTGTTTTTCGACGGATTTAAGAAAGCCTATCCTATGGAATAGCTGAAAGTAGAATTTTCTATATATAAACTGAAGGATTCTTTTCTATAGACGAGATTTCATATAGACGTCCTTAAAAAAGGCTGTCCTTTATGTGACTTGAACTGCTCTTTTATGTTGGCGATCAGTGTGGAGTATTTGCTTTCGACGAGCTGAAGGGAGTTTTCGACTGATGTGCTGAAGAAATTCTTTGATAGATGAACTGAAGGCAACCTAAAGGGCTTTTTCCTGTAGATGAGCAGATCGGAGTATTTAATTTCGAGAGCAAATACTCCACACTGCTCGTCAGCAGAAAAGAGCAGTTCAGGTCGCCTGAAGGACAAACTTTTTTAAGGACGTCTATAGGAAAGCACGTCTATAGAAAAATACACCTTCATCATGTCTATAAGATAGGCTCCATTCAGCTCTCGAATTTAAATACTCCGCTATGCTTGTCTACAGGAAAAAGCCCTTCGGTCGCCTAATCGAAATTTTATATTCTGGTTATTTATATGAAAAAATACCTTCAGCACAGGTGTCGAAGACTCACTTCATCTCGTCCAAAGAAAATCCCGCCTACAGTTCACCTGTGGAAAACTGACTTTATTAGGTCGTCTATACAAAGAACTCGCTTCAGTTCGCCTAAAAAAAAAGAACTTCCTTCGGCTCCTCTATAGGGAAAACTCCATTCAGCTCATCTACAGAGGCTCGCCTCGTCAGCTAGCTTGTAAAATGCTATTCCCTGAGCCCTTCAGGTCACCTAATCGAAATTTTATATTCAGGTTATAGGAAAAATTACCTTCAGCACAGGTGTCGAAGACACGCTTCATCTCGTCTATAGAAAATCGCGACTACAGTTCACCTGTGGAAAACTGACTTTATTAGGTCGTCTATACAAAGGAATCCCTTCAGTTCGCCTACCAAAAAAAAAACATCCTTCGGCTCCTCTATAGGGAAAACTCCATTCAGCTCATCTACAATGGCTCCCCTCGTCATCTAGCTTATAAAATGCAATTCCCTGATCTAAATCATCCGATCTAAACCAGCCAACTATTAAATATTACAATTAAAATGCAATGTTTGAGACCATAAATTATCAACTGCAACACTGCAGAAAATTATATTCCACTTCTTTTCGATTAAACAAATCGCTCATAGTAACACTGATCATAAATATTAATTTAGCAGTTCGGCTCGGAGGGTAATATGATATCACACTCAAGTAGGTAGCGCGATACAGAAAATACATCAAGCAGAACAATAGAACATCGAAAAGAACAAACAAATGGCTTGTCAAATGAGAGGTGGAGGGGAAGTGTCGCCATATATGTTACATTAAACAAAGCTGCCGCTGCAGAATAGGGAACTTTAGCAGTTAACTGTTGCTGGCGGGGGGTTGTGATGGTGGTGTTGTTGTTGGCGTACTGAAAACTGACATGTTGGAAATATATTGACACCAACAACAAGATTTCAGGTTCAAGTGCAACAACTGGAAATTGATTGGGGCAAACCATATTAAATGACCACAAATCAATTGGAACGCCAACAATTGTCACACACCGCCAGCAACAACAACAACAATTATAGATACCGTCAGACAGACGGACAGCCAACGAGCAAGTGAACACTGGTTTTGGAAAGACGTCTTGGTAAGACTATAGCCCCGGAACATGTTAATGCCAATCATTAGAATAGGGTTGCGAAGTAGTGTCCCAAGGGGATTGCAACCAGAATCTAATGGCTGATGCAACACTTCGACTCACTGGCTATGCCAATGCATTATGGAGAGTCTCCCATATGGGTGTTTGTTTGCAGCATTCGTTCATATGGTGTTCGATTAATATATAAACCATGGCATAATTTCGAAATAGCATCAAACAGTTCTCAGCCCTTCTAGTGAAAACACATTATCTAGCAAACGCTAACTCAAAACCACTCAAACCAAACAAAATGTTCAAATACGTAAGTGTAAACCGAAAGGAGTTTTCCAAAAAGAAAAATTACAAAATTACATTTCTATTTCCATCTCCTAGATCGCTGCTGTCTTCGCTCTATTGTTGGCCTTTGCCGCTGCCGTACCAGCTCCTGTTCCAGCCCCTGCCCCAGCACCAGCTCCCGCACCATCACCCAGCATTTTGCCAGTGGTGCCCGGACCAGTTGTCAGCTATGTCGGCCATCCCTTGGTTGGCCCCGTTGTCCGTGTAGTTGGTCCCTATGGCCCAGTATATCCTGGCCACGTTGTTGTCGGTTAAGCCAAGGAATCGAACTGATCACAGCCATACTTGCCAATCTTGCTTACAAAACAAAACAAAACGCCTGCTGCCGTCCCTTTTCTTCTCATTTTGCAATGTCATAGTTTTCGTTTGGAGATTTCCTTTGGAATTAACCATCGTGTCGTGCCGTACCCTGTATTGTGGAATTCTTTATTTTCGTTTTCTTAAATCATTTTTTTTATAATTTTTATAATTTTATTTTATGATTTACTTTTTGTCTGTCTATCTCATTAACCATCATCTTTTATTGCTAAATAAATATAAAAAAATGTAAAAAATAATAAACACAATTTTTGTATGCAACTTCTAAATGAATGCATGTGGTCACTAATACTGTTGTGAGAGTGTGTGAGTGCGAAGTTAAACAAATAAGCGGAGAGCCTAAAAGTATGCTATAATGCAATTAAATGTCTCATTCACAAGACAATCATTGGAAAAATATATCGGAATAGAAAGGTAAAAAATTGAGGATTATAATCGAATCTACGCCCTCAGTAGGACTACCTGTCCTATACAGTATTTGTAATAGTCAGCTATAGGACTCTAGAAGGTCTTTTACTAAATTGTATGTCATTAGAACGCCTATAAAAATGCATGTTTTTATAAGCGGGATAATTTTAGACCGATAGGAAGCCTTCAACAGAAGACTACAAAGAGTCTAGTATTAGGCAAATTCAGTTCGTCTAAATATATATTTAAAATGGAGAATCAATAGACACCCAAGGAACCGTCCACGGGAGATACTCCCTTCATCTCGTCTATAAGAAGAATTCCTTCAGCTCGTCTATACGAAGTGCTGCCTTCATCTCGTCTTTAGAAGACCACCGTCAGCTCATTAATAGGAAGGACTTCCTTCAGCTCGTCTATAGAAAACTACATTCAGCTCGTCTATAGGAAAGACTCACTCAGCTAATCCATGCGAAATACTCCCTACTGCTGGTCTGTAGGAAAGACTCCCTTCAACACGCCTATTGAAAACTTCCTTCAGCTCGTCGATGTAAAAAAAACTCCCAGTAGCTCGTCTATAGGAAAAACTCTCTTCAGCTCATTTGGAGCAACGAATTACTTCTCCCTCACTTCACATCGTCTATAAGAAATATTGCTTTCAGCTCGCCTGTAGGAAAGACACTCGACAATTATTCAATAAAAATAACTCGTCTTGAAAGATTCTCCTCAACTCGTCTAATGAAAAAGACATTCTTTAACTCGCCTGTAGGAAAGACATTATTTAGCTCTTCAATGGAACCAACTTGTGTAGGAAATTTTCTCCACAGTTCGCCTATAGAAAAACACCCTTCAGCTCTTCAATGGAAGAAACTCGTTTTCGAAAGATTATCCTTATTTCGTCTATATGAAAAATGTACTTTCAGATCTTCTATCGTCTAAGACTCCATTCAGCTCCTGTATAGGAAATAATACTTTCAGATTGGATGTAGGAAAGATTATCAATAGAAACGACAATTCTCTTCAGCTCATTTGAAGAAAAGACTCACTTCTCTTTTTCTTCAGATAGCCTATAAGAAATATTGCTTTCAGCTTGCCTGTAGGAAAGACACCCTTCAGCTCTTCAATGTATGACATTTTCTCCGCAGTTCCTAACACCCTTGAGATCTTTAATGGAAGGAAATCGTCTTCGAAAGATTAATCTTTTCCCGTCTATATGAAAAATCAAGATCCCTTTCAGATCGTGTATAGGAAAGTCTCCATTCAGTTCCTGTATAGGAATGAATACTTTCAGATTGACTGTAGGAAAGGCGCCCATCAGATTGTCAATAGGAAAGATTCCTTCCAGGAAGAAAATATTTTCTCTACCAAAAAAAAAAAATCCCTACAAAAGACTATCTTCTAATTGTCTTTGTCGTCTTTAGAAACAACTCTATTCAGC